GGACCTTTTTCACAATAACATTGAAAGGTAGGGACCTTTTGTGCTACTTATAGGGACATTTTGTGCTAATTACCTTTTGATTTAACGGAGCATTTAGCGGGGAGTTGACAAAAGAACGTTTTGCGCAAAAAAATGTAAAGCCGAGAGTGTAATCCGCCAAAAAATGAAAGGTATGGACATTTTTCACAAAAACATCGAAAGGTAGGGACGTTTTGTGCTAATTACCCTTTAATTTTTGGTTGCGCATGTTAAGTAGATTCCCATCAAGTTCAAATTTGGATTGAAATATCCATCTTCAAAATATTGCTTCAAAGTATAAATATATCTTGTGTTTGTATTTCAATTTTTTGCTATTTTCTACAATGGATTCTGTATCACCATATTTAGTGGAAATTACACTTATCCAGTATTTTAAGGTGTACAATTCACAAAATAAATGTAAAGAATTTTGTTTTTTTTCAAAAATTAGGTACTTCTTAATTTTTTGATATTATAAAATTAAATTAATTAACCTACATATCCACTCCACCTCATTCTCAAACCCTAAATTTCTCTCTATTCTCTACACTATCTTCCTTCTCTTTAAACGTAAAATTTTCATCTTCTTTTCCATCTCTCGCCCATCTATCTCCTCTCCTTCTCCACTCTCTTTGTCAATGACATAGCCACTTGCCACTGTTGCGAGAAGTAGCCAATACCCATCATCGTTGTCGTGTGCCACCACCGCTTTTGCTCTATCTTCTCCATTCTCTATTTGTCAACGATGACAGTGGCCTTCTTCAGTCGCCGTTAGCGGCTCAAAAGGACACCACGCTACTCACAAGCTGTGTCCTTGAAAGCTACTAGGAACTCCGATAAAGCAGCTGATTGGAGAAGTCACTATAAAATGTTGGTGATTATTGTGAGTTTGGGGGTTTTGTTGGTGGGGTGGTGGCTATGGCGTGGAAGTGTTGTATAAGATAGTGGATTCTAGCAAACGATTGTGGTGGTTGATTGGAGTTGCAAATGAAGGTGGAGGTGATTGTTGAAGCAGGCGATTATGGGTGTAGGATGTGATGGTGCAGCAGTTTTTTTGTACCGCACGGTCGCACGTCTTGTAGCGGCATTACGATTGTGGGCTGTAGTATGTGGATTTGATAAGGCTGTGGTAATGAGTAGTGATGGCGACAGTGGCAATGGGTTTGGAGATTTTTTTGGTGGGTGTGAAGTGATGGAGATTGTGGGTGTGGTTGTGGTTTTTGGTACAAGAGGTGGTATTGCTGTTGATAAGTGTATTTATTACACTTATCCGAGTCGTTAAACTAGAGCAATTATTGTTATTTTAAATGAATTGAGACTTAATTTTGTATATATTTCATTTGACAGATGCATCTCGATAAAAAAAACGATGGAAGTTGAAAAAAAGAGCGAAAATTGGCCAAAAGAGATGGAATCCAAAGTTTGGAGACAAAATTGCAAAGTATTAATAGTTGATTCTGACCCAATATCGATAATTGGAGAAGATGTGGACTTAATAAGATGGAATTAAAGGCAAAAGGACCAAAAAGACATCTAAAAGAGTTAAGATGAATGAAAAATGAATATTGAAGTATAGGGATCAAAGTGCAACAAATGGAAAATTTTATAACTGCGCGCTCACGAGCTTAAAGTTGTGTGTGGGACCTTGCCATGCTGTTATCGAGAACAAATCCAACATATGGCCCGTGTGAGAGGAAATGTATGGTTCGTGCGCAGGGGGCAAATTTTAGGCTGAACAATCTTGGTTCTATTTTTGACCTAAATTCTTATGGAAATCAAAATTAACTTACTATTTAAGCTAGATAAGACAGCAAGAAAGCAAGACACATTATCATATATAATTTTCTCCACAAAAGGAGGTTAGCAGATGACTCAAATGTGATTAACGCAAGAAATTGAAGATTCAACATCCTGATTGAAGATTAACGAAGAAGAAATTGATCTTTTACTTTTCAATTATTGTTTTCAATTTCGGGTAATGTTTTCCAAATCTTTTTGTGTGATTTATTATATAATATGCTAGACTAATTCTTTTCATATATTAGATGAGATGAAATATTTTACTATTTATTTTTAATTCAAGATGAGTAGCTTAGTCAAATTCTTGCTGCTCTTGATTAATTTTGCATGCCTAAATTTAATAGTTGATTGCTTAAACCAATTGAGCATATGGTTGCTTGTTATAGTATTGAGAGGCTCACGCTAGGTCTAGAACATTGCTTGATTAATATATGTGCAATAAATGTTAGGGATAACATTTATCATGTGCGCAATATTTGAGATAATTGTAAAATTGAATGCATTTTATTCATTTGAATTCGGGCTAAGAATAGATTTCGAGTCGTGATTAGAATATATTTAATTTGTCTTGTAAAATAAACTTAATTATAATGTAATTATCGATTATCAAGAATGCATGAATGAAACTAGCTACGTAATTGAAAATTGGAATAGATAATAATAGATGAATTCGTAGTACAATACACTCATCCCATATATATACAAAAATCGAATTTTACAAGTTTTAATAAATTAATTTAGAATAACCACAAATACAAATCACTTTTGTTTGCTAACCTTCAATATAATTAAAGATTAGTACACTCAATTGAATTTTATTCCTCCTGGGATGATACATGTAACTCATCACGTATTACTTGTCAACAATCTCGTGCACTTGCGGATTTCACACGAACAACTGTTTCTGCTGGCCATGACATTGATGGTAAGATGGAGATGGAGATGGGGATGACAATGCGAGTAGCAATGGTGTGCTATTGCGATGCTATGGGTGTGGTTGTTGGGTGAGTGGTGTGGTGCTGTAGGCGGTGGTGGAGGTGTGATGGGTGCGGTGGTTAGGTAAGTGGTGTGGTACTATGCGCGATTGTGGTTGTAGCAGGTGGTGGTGGTGGTTCTGGTGACAACAATTTTGGTGGCGTTGTGGCTAATGACAGTGGTGAGGTGGTGGTAATAAGTGTTGATAATGATCACAAATGATTTGGTTGATTGTGACCATTACATTGGTTAATTTTATGACCAATAAAAAAAGATAAATTATGATCAAGAAATAATGTGTAATTTAAAAATTTGTTAATTTGCGATTTGATAATTTATGATTGTATAGTAAGTTGTGACTTATAATATTTGTGATTCGTGATCGATATATAAATTGCGACTTATAAATTTTTTATTTATGATCGATGAATAAATTGTGACTTATAAATTTTTTTTTATTGTGATCGTAAAATAATTTGTGACATATAAAAATTCTGATTTGTGATAAAAAATAATAATATGTGATTAACTAAATCGTTCATTTGTAACCGAATTCTATAGATTAGTGACCTTAATATATTGAGTTACTAAAAATTTGAACCCTTTGTTTTTAGTTTTGAAATGGGTGATACTTATGCCCCGTTTGATTCTCATTTTTATCAAAATGTATTTTTTCTCCCTCATTTTTAATCATGTATTCTTTATTAAAATAATATTACAAGTAAATTAAAAATATTTTTTTTATTTTTTATCCACACATTCCCCATCAATATACTATTCTAAAATTTATTTTTCTAACAAAATGGATGTCAGACACCATCATAATTTCTTAGTTATGAATTTCTTCCCATATTAAATTCTTGGTCCATCTTTCTCTGTAATGTATGGAATGAAGCCCAAATTCTAGTGGCAGGCAAGTAGTGGCATTGTAAGCCCAAATTCTAGCTGAAAGAGTACATCCAATTTGTTCAACCTCGGCCCTGAAATTAACAATCCATTCTTTTATTATTTTCGACAAAAAACAATTAATTCATGGATTTTATTTACAATCAAGAAATTGAGAAATTACTATGAATAAAGGAGAGATAGTCACTATCAAAGAAGCTTCAAGAAAGTCAAAAAATGTTGAAAAATCGAATATATTATTAGAATAAATAATCAATTAATGGTCCGGCTCTAGGAATATTCTCTATTAATGAAACCATCTTAAGTTAGTCAAATGCTAAAACTGAAAATATAAAAATAGATTTCTTTATATGTTTACAATTATGCATTTTCTTCTTATTTTATTCTATTAGTAATATACATTTGATTTTCATTATTATGTAGGAAAATTCATTAAATATTATATATTGCTTGATTTAATACTATTTTTTTTTATAAAAAAATAAAAATTTGATACTCCCAACATATGTTTGAGTCCCATTTTTTTTTTAAAATGTATTTTGGAATATTAAATTGATGGAAAATGTGATTAAAAAATAAGAAATTTTTTTGAATTTATGTATTATATTATTTTATTGAAGAATGTATTATAGAAAAGAAAAAAGAGAAAAATATATTTTATAAATATTAAGGATCAAACAAGAGCTAAATTCTTATAAAATGAAAGTAATAATATCATAACTATACCAAAAATTGGCACCATAAGTTTATAGTTTAGATTTCTTTTGGTTCACTTTTGTAGTAAAAATCTTAGATTAATTTTAATTTTTTTCCCTTTTTTTTATGAGAAATCAATATTCCCAAAATATGAAAAAAATAAAATAAATTTTTTATTTAAAAAATTAATTTTGCTTAAATTAAAATTAAAATTAAAATAAGAAACAATAAAGAAAACAAATAGCAAGGGGGAAGGTTTCTGAAAATTTTCTAATAATTCAGGACCTAAATTTGGTCCTCCCATTCGAAAAATCTTCCACCGATCACTTTGTAGTAAACATTTAAAATTAAAATGCCAACTTTTAATTTTGAATTAAATAGAAGTGTAGCTTTCTAATGTTACATATTCTACTAAAAAAAACTATTAAAAAATATAACCAATCATCTAATCAGAGAGTTGACTTAACACAACGTTAAATATATAATCATGGTTCAAAATTTTAGTTTAAAACTCAAGAACAATGCCAAAGAAGAAGTTTAACCATGGTTATGTGATGAAAGAAAGGTAATTCGAAAGAACGTTGCCTTTGTCTTTGTTAAGGATTTTTGATTTCCAATTTTGATGCCTTTTTTCTATCTTTATTATTATTATATTTGACCCTCATAAACAAACAACAATTTTTGGCATTAGACTTGGCTTGATCTACTCTTTCATCTTTACCTGTGTTACTTCTTAGCAACTTGATCATCTTCAATACACCAACTCCACAAGAAACGCATATGTAATATCAGCAAATCCATCTGTGTTTCACTTTCATCCCTGGTCTTTCTTGCCACTTGTTTGGATATCTTAACATGAGCTGAGATTCACTCGAGAACCTTTCTGAAAATATGTCTTCCTGTGTGGTGATTGGAAAAGGAGTCGCTTTTTCTGGTAGTTGAACCTGCTCGAGTGAGACGTTGAGCACCTCTCTTCTTCCTTCTGTGGGAGCATTTTCACCAAGGTTTCTCCACCAATCCTTGCCCAATATTCTCCTCTTCCTAGATCGTTCTTACATACCCAGAACACTGAGAATCGTATAGTTCCATTATCAGGAATGAAGGTACAAACACAATTTCTATTTTCCTATAATGCTAGCATCTCAAAATAGTCATTCTGAATCTCTGATAGTGATCTTCTAAAAGAGCTCGGTATCTGAAATCTTGATGTTATCTACTAACCTATGAACCAGGGAACAAAGGAAGATCTGAGAAAATCTTTATTCACGTCTGTTGCAAAATCAACAACAGAGAATGCCAGACCAAGCAGCATGGTAATTAAGGTAAGAGCAAAATTTGATGTTTTATCCAAGTAAAGGCATATCTAATTTCGTTTCAGTTTGGTCATTGTTTGAAATGAAACAGAAGGCTAATACAGTAATTCCAGCACACATAGTTGCAGAAGCTATATCAACACTCCATGGCCTAGACCTCAGATGGTCGGGACCAATAACCCCAACTGAAATGCAATATGTAGAACAATATGTCGTAGCTAAATATCCTGAGTACTCGAATGCCCTTGTAGAAGGAGGAGAAAAGACTGATCTTTATGATCTCTGCATCAAAGAGAAGCTTTCAGAGCCACAGCCAGACGACACACGAAAATCACCCAGAGGTGTTTTCCGAGAAACATTTACACCTTCATCTGGAAGCAGCCTCCCTGATCTTGAGAAAACGCAGTTGGAGCCATCAAGATTGCTCAATATCCTCACTAAGAAATCCTCTTTCCTCGGGAACTTCATTTCAATCCCTGAAATTCAAGCTCGAAACAAAGTTCTGAATCACTGTGGATTACCGGATGACGAGTATCTTGTTCTTTTCACTCAAAACTACAAGGAAGCAATGATGTTAGTTGGAGAGAGCTACCCATTCTTCAAGGGGAACTTTTATTTGACTATTATTGGACAAGAAGCTGATTATGTAAGGGAATTCGCAAGCTATAAGGAATCAAGAGTGATCTTGGCACCAGAGACTTGGCTTGATTTGAGGATCAAGGGATCACAACTCAGCCAGTACTTCAGAAGAAAGTGCAAGCACGCTCCTAAAGGACTATTTTCTTACCCGACTGAAGTGAACGGTACTCGATATTCTATGCATTGGATTTCAGAAGCCCATCGTAACTCATGGCACGTTCTGCTCGACGCAACTGCGTTGGTGGTGGGTGAAGATAAGCTGAATCTCACACTCCATAGGCCAGATTTCCTTCTATGCAGTCTTAATAATACAAGTGCTCATTCTTCAAAGATTACCTGCCTTTTAGTTAGGAGAAAATCCTTTGACATGTCCACAGCTTCAGGTCAAACACATGAATAAAATCTAAATGTAAACCTGTGAGAGTATACAAGTCTGCCAACATGGTTAAGGAAATGAATACTCGCACTTCATAAGGATATAAACAACTGCTGCTAATTTTCATCTATACTGCTTTTAAATTGCATGATATTTCCTATTTTAGGACCTCAATTTTCATTTTATTGATAAAAAATTCTTGCATACTTCCTACGGCTGAAAGAGCACGTTTCTTTTCTCAAGGTTATCAGATAATGATCAATCTGAACCAAAGATTATTGCTTAAAGGCCCCCTTGTACAAGGATGATTTAAAAGGTAAGCTCCCTAAACTCCTGTCTCTAGCTTCCAGCATTTTCGTTTGGTAATCAAAGGAAAATTTAACATCTGGATTTCAATAATCACATGAAATCAGAACAGGGTCTAAATGAAACGAAGAACTCTAGAACTTGTAAAGATTGCTGAAACTTTTGCTGATTAGTTTTAGCCACTTCGGAGTTCAACTTATTCGGGTACAAAATATGTGCTCCCTGCTGCACTGAATCTATTTGTGCCTTCTTCCTATATGGAAAGATTCTGCGCCAAATAAAGGAAAAAAATAACCACCCTGGTTGAGGCATTTTTACTCAATAATTGGAGATTACTAAACACGCTTATTAACATAGTAATCTTCTCGTGGCTCTATCTGATTTCAATTTCTTGCACAGAACCAGGTGCTATTTAGAACAAGAAATTATCAATTAACCTACTCAATAACCTTTTAATTCTTGGGATGATTTCCAGCGTACTGACGGGTGCAGGAACAGATCTTATTTCAAATAACTGGATTTAGATGTTTTTCTCATGTTTCTAATTTGCTATCATTAGGAAGATAACAAAGGGACAAAAAATGGTGCATTGATGTGTTGCATCTAATTCTTCCATATTGTACTACCATTTATGGATGCCCCTCACACTTGGCTCAAAATCTTTTGTTAAGGGTCTGGGATGATGTTTTCTATTTGCAACTTGACATGTGCTACTACTAGAGAGGAAAACTGGTTGCATGTCTGAGCTTGTGCATATGTCTAGTTGTGTTGGGTGGGAGTTGATTAATTCTGAATCAACGAATTTAGAATAAAGGGCTCGCTTTGACCATTAAGAGTAGGTAACATATTTATTGTTTTTGTTTCTATCTCATCGTATCATATTATATTCTGCAAGATTTGGAAATCACTATCAATATCTTGGTGTAAGTTCGCGATGATCCTTCGTTTCATAGCCCTGGGCATTTACAACTAGACAATTATGATGTGGATCTTCGATATATCTGTGAGTCTAAAAATTCACTGCGGCCAATTAAACCTTTTCAAACTGTTTCTTTTTAAGAACCAAAAAGATTTGTGCTAGGGGTGTTAGGACCTAAATCAAATACATAGAAGTGCAATTGCACTTTGTTCACAAAACTAACATATTAGCATCTTCAAGTCCGTCTTTTCAATTCTGAAGGATCTTTTCCATCCAGAAAGCATCATATGTACACAGACCTTTAAGCTCGAACTAATGTAAAAGGGTCTACTGAACTATGGTACATGCGTACACAATGCAATTGCATACCAATATTTGAATGTCTATAAAGCTTGATTGCTATGTTGAACTGTGTTAGTCTCAACTTCCAAAGGCCAAAAGTACGATACCTTTCTAGACAAATGAATGATAGTTTACACAGATATAGGCCACTAAACCAAGAGATCTATGCTGAACAACCATCGCCAAGGGTGTAAATCAATCAATAGTTTCTATTTAGTTTTCGTTGAGAGATATTTCATGTACAACAAACTTAAAAATCGAATAGAATTAACTAGAATCCATTTACAAGTACTTCCAGTAAAGCTAGCTCCACAAGTGTCCCCTTCATTTGTAAGGGACTCAGTATAATTGCATACCGATATTTGGATATCTATAAAGCTTGTTTACTATGTTGAACTGTGTTAGTCTCAACTGCCAAAGGCCCAAATTATAATAACTTCCTAGACAATTGAAAGATAGTTTACACCAATATAGGCTACAAAACCAAGAAATCCACGCTGAACAACTATCGTCAAGGGTGTGAATAATTCAGTGGCTTCTATTTAGTTTTCGGGAAGTTATATTTCAACTGCAACAAACTTAAAAATCGAATAGAAATGACTAGAATCCGTTTACAAGTACTTCCAGCAAAGCTTGCTCATTGAGTGTCCCCCTTCATTTGTAAGCAAAGGCACCATAGCTAGCAGACCTCTAGAATTCCCAACAGTAATTACCACTGCCTACCAAAATGACTTTTCCAATAGGCAGAAAATTTTGAAAGATGATCCAGGTGATTTGGTTCAATTTGAGATCTTACTCAAAGAGAAAGATACCATATATTTAGAGTTTCATTTTGTAAATTATTAGGATAATTTGATCCGCAAGGACCATGATGGAGACTTGTTTGATTGTCTTTCTTTGAGTAAGAGGCAAAACTTTTCTACAGCTTCATTATATTCGAATTTTCCCTACTTCAACATGTTTGTCAGTGGTTTATCAATACTTTTAAGAGTTTCTCATGAATTTCGTATAATACCCATTTCATATTTCAAGTATAGCATGCATCATAACTTCTAAAATAACTTCAAACTAAGTCAATCCTATGTCCAAACTACAGTCTACATGAATATCAAGTTAAAACAATGACTTTCAAGTCATTAGATTGGAACGCTTAAATCGCCAAGATTCAAGAAGTCACTCTTCTCGTGTACTTCATCATTTAATTCGAACTTTTACTCATCTTTAGTCCATAAATTCCATTCCTTCCCTACTTTTTCATCGTTAAGTAAGCCAGTGTCAGCTTCCAAACCACTCTTTCTATTTCACCACCTAGTTCAGAGTATGGGTTCTCCCTTGTAGAAGGAGGTTCTACTCAAGTCCGACATCACTAAATGTTTTAAACATGAGGATTATCCAAGCCCTTCTACAAAAGAAACAGCATAAAAAGCACCTGCCGAATTCTGAACTGCGTGGACTAATTTATTAAGCACTAGGATAGCTTTTACCCAAAGCCAAGTAGAATAGATTCAACGCTGAACCAATACCACATTATTGTTCGAAAAGAGGTTATACAAACTTCAAATTGCACTATAAAATATACTTTAGACCAGTCAACAACAGGAACAAAACACAGGATACAACTAACTTGTAAAACAAAACTCGAAACTCTCGTTATCTGCTCACGAGTTGTGTTGACAATATAACATTTAGAACCGTACTGGTGCTCCTTATATCAATATTTAGTTCTTCCGTCACCCTCGGTGATCACATCTTTAAAGGCTCCCCCACTTGGGATCATAGGCAAGACATGTTCTTGATGCGGTACAATCACATCCAATAAATATGGCCCGGGTGTATCTAACATCTTCTGAATAGCAGCCCTGAGATCATCCTTATTTGTCACGCGCGCTGCAGGTATATCACAAGCCCCTGCAAACTTCAACATATCTGGGAAAATCTCCGACTCTTTGGAAGGGTTTCCAAGATAGGTATGTGCCCTGTTAGCCTTGTAGAAGCGGTCTTCCCACTGAACCACCATGCCCAAATGCTGATTATTCAACAACATAATTTTAACAGGAAGATTTTCCACCCTGACCGTAGCAAGCTCTTGCACATTCATGATGAAACTCCCATCACCATCAATATCAACTACAACACAATCTGGTCGTGCAACGGCAGCTCCAATTGCTGCAGGAAGTCCAAAACCCATAGCCCCCAAACCACCCGATGTCAACCACTGCCGAGGCCTGTTGTACTTGTAAAATTGAGCAGACCACATTTGGTGCTGCCCGACACCAGTACTAATAATGGCATTCCCTCTCGTAAGCTCGTCAAGAAGCTGAATAGCATATTGAGGAGGAATGGCATCTTCAAATGTCTTGTAACTCAAAGGATACTTTATTTTCTGCTCCTTTAGCTCCTGTCTCCAGGCTGAAAAATCGAGCTTAACCTTATTTCCTCTCTCATTCCCTTCAAATATCGAATTCAAACCCTGCAAAGCCAACTTAATATCTCCACAGATGGACACATGAGGTTGCTTGTTCTTTCCAATCTCAGCAGAATCAATATCAATGTGCACAATCTTCGCTCGGCTTGCAAAAGCCTCTAACTTCCCAGTCACGCGATCATCAAACCGAACCCCAAATGCAAGCAACAAATCACTCTTGTCCACTGCATAATTAGCATAAACAGTGCCATGCATTCCAAGCATTTGCAGGGAAAGCTCCTCATCCGAGCAAGGATAAGAACCAAGACCCATCAAAGTACTGGCAACAGGAATCCCTGTTAAATCCACAAACCGCCTCAACTCTTCGCTTGAATTCAAACACCCACCACCTACGTAGAGGACGGGCTTCTTTGACTCAGTTATCAACCTCGCTATTTGCTCTAACAACATCTCACTTGGGGGCCGTGGCAACCTAGATACATAACCAGCTAATCTCATTGGTTGGTCCCACTTTGGAACCACCATTTGCTGTTGTATATCCTTCGGGATGTCAATCAAAACTGGTCCAGGTCGGCCTGATTTAGCAATAAAAAATGCTTCTTTCACAATTCTAGGAATATCCTCCACGTCTAAAACAAGATAATTATGCTTGGTAATGGAACGAGTCACCTCAACAATGGGCGTTTCCTGGAAAGCATCTGTGCCAATCATCCTCCGGGGAACCTGGCCGGTGATGGCCACGATTGGGACACTATCGAGCATAGCATCAGCCAATCCAGAAACCAAATTGGTAGCTCCGGGACCGGACGTAGCGATACAGACACCGGGGACTCCAGACGCTCGAGCGTAACCTTCAGCCGCGAAAACCCCACCCTGCTCATGGCGCGGAAGGACGTTTCGGATAATTTTAGAACGCGTGAGGGCCTGATGGATCTCCATGGACGCACCACCAGGATATGCAAAAACGTCTGTCACGCCCTCCCGCTCAAGGGCCTCCACAAGGACATCGCAGCCTTTTCGGGGTTCCTCAGGTGCATATCGTGAAATGTGGGTCACTTCGTAAGCTTCTTTTCGCACTGGAGAAGCAACATTGGTGATTTGCAGACCGCGCTTATGGTGACAATTATGAGAGAGGCGGGGGGTGGGGCTGGTGGGTGCTTG